TTGCTATTGCTATTGCTATTGCTCTCGACAGGTGTGGTTGTTGGCTATCTTAAATGCTTGTCTTGTATTTGTGTGTTCCCTTTCCCGCTTGAGTTGTTCACCGCCCTGAGTCCCTTTTGGGAATAGGTCGGCATATAAATAAAACAAACCTCAACCTCAATGCAAATTTGTCCAATTTATAATTCCTAATAAATGGCAAAGGAGAGGCCCAAGCTGCAGCTCTACATATTTCGTCCAGGGTGAGTGGCCCACGCCATGGTGGTGGCCGCACTCCTAGTAGAGTGGACAATAACACCCGGTATCGACTCATGGCGTGCCTCGTATGCTGCTGTGATACATTTACGCACCCACCGTTCTATGGTAGCCACCGATACCTTTTGGCCCAACGAGGCATCCAGGAAGGAAATAAACAGCGCATCTGAGCGGCGGAAGGTCGTTGTGTGTTAAATGTTCACATCAAGTGCTTGGTGCACATCAAATGTGTGCCACCGTTGTTCCAGCTGGCAAACTGGGGAAGGGCAGAAATTGGGAAGAATAACCTCCTGAGCCCTATGGAACCAGACCCCACAAAAGAGGGGTCTAGCCTTAGTACCACGGTCAGGGTAAAACCTGCATAAATCCTCATGCACTGAAAGGGCATGTAATTCCGATATTCTTCTAGCAGATGTTATTGCTACCAGGAATGTGACCTTCCAGGTAAGTATTCATATGGGAACCTCCTGCAAAAGTTCAAAGGGAGGCTCAGTAAGCGCCTTCAAACACCTTGGGGAGATCTCAGGCAGGGTAACAATGTACTACCGGAGGCCACAGATCGGCTGTCCGTCTCCCCAGGTAAGTATCGTGCTAAGAGCCGCAACTTGTCTTCTGATAGTGTTGGGGGACAACCCTTTCTTGAGACCATCCAGTAAAAACTCCAGGGTTTGGGAGACGAAAAACTCAACCAGAATGATGTGTCTGGAGCGACACCAAGCACAATAGGCCTTCCAGGTTGTAAATGCGCAAAGTCGAAGGCCTCTTGGACACCTGGATGGTACCTATCACCCTATCTGAGAAGTCACCCCTCTGGAGAGCATGCCGCTCAATCTCCAGGCAGTCAACTGAAGCCACTGCGGCTCCAGTGACTCCTGATGAAGTGCAATCTTGTCCGCTGGAATCCTCCAAGGTCTCTCCGCCAATAGTGGCTGAAGGTCGGCAAACCGCCGCGGCCAGTATGGTGCCAGAAATATGAGCTCCGTTCCTGTACTGATAATCTTGCGGATCACCCTGGGTAGTAAAGGCACCGGGGGACGGCATATAGGAGATCCCTGGGCCAGGGCAGCAAAGCGCATCCACACCCTCCACTCCAGATGTGTGGAATCTCAAAAAGAACCTGGGAAGTTGGGCGTTGTGCTGGGAGGCAAACAGGTCTACCAACAGGTCCCTGACCCACTGTACAATCTCCTGAAAAAGAGAAGGGTGTAATTGCCATTTGGCCTGGTCGATTCTTGACCTACTGAGCCAATCCGCTCGTACAGCTTCCCCAATATGTGCTCCGCCCTGATGAAGTGTAGGTAGTCCTCCACCCAGGAGCCTAGTGTGTTAGCCTCTATCATTAGGTCCCGAGACCTAGTACCCCCCTGCCTGTTAACATGGGCCTTGGCAATTATGTTATCCGTTAGGATTAGTACGTGCTGACCCTCAATGAAGTGTTGGAACTTCAATAACGCCAATCTGATAGCCCATAGTTCTTAACAGTTTATGCTCATCTCCGCCTCCTCTTGACTCCACTGACCCTGTGTCATGTGATGCCCATGTGTGCACCCCAGCCATAAAGGCTGGCATACGTGGTGATAGTGACCCTGTGGAGTACCCTGAAATGGCATCCCCTCTCTATGGCCCCACGCTGTGACTCCACTGGAGAAAGGTGATCAACCCCCTCCTGTGCAGGACAGGCAGCCATACGAGTCGTGGTGGCTGGTGCTGACTGGGCCTTCTGTTGGAGACCGGCTGCAATCCCTGGCGGATGGCCTCTGCCAAAAAGTCCTGGATGCCCACTGAAGGTGGTACCATGACCATTGGAGGTAAATTTGGCCAGGTCACTAAATGTCCCTCTTGCTGAAGCCCAGATGCAGTTGGGGTAAAGGTAGCTTCAGGGGCTCTACTTAGCGGTCGAGGGGATACATCCCCCCACAGACCCGATGTGTTGATAGGCAGCATTGGGCTGAAAGGTCCCTGGGTGATGTCCAATTGTAATGGCAGCAAACGGTTGAGGCGGGAGGGGGTAAAGCCTCCCCTTTCTCAGAGCACCTAGGTAAATGCCCTTGCTTCTCCCGGTGTTTATCCTTGATGGTGGATTTCTTGGGCTTAGAGCCCTTGTGTGTAGAGGAGGAGGCAGCCTTACCACTGGCCTTTTTCCCCAGGGCATTCTGCTCAGGGGTCACAATCAAGGGGCCAGATGCCTGACCTGCCAAGAAGAGTCCCTGGTCGGGCTCTGCCATGCTCCTGTGGGCCTCAGCTGCTATCTCCATGATGCTGCTGTCCGCCGTCTCCTCCGGCTGTCAGAAGCGCTAATAAAATGGCACCCATGAAGGAGGCTCCACCCACTTTCAAAATGGCACCCACGCCTCCATTTGCACTTTTTCTAAACAGTCTGGGCTTCAAATGCACTGGCCGTGACCGTCTGGCAAGATCGCCCTTAGCCGCCCCTCAAGCAGCTCGCACAGCCCAGGTAACTGTCCGTGCAGCTTCGAAACCCGTAGCGGAGCCCCACGCCGAGCAGAGGTCGGGCGAGCCACATCACAGCCGGCTGTCAGTGATCGCCTCCACAAAGAGTCCTGCAGCCGAATTGACAAGCAGTCCCAATGGACCGTTAGCATGAAGCGTCACAGCCAGAGCTGCAGAATAGGCTCAAGTCCTTAATTAATTTTACCTCAGACGTTGACAGCCACAAGTGGCAAGATGAAAGTCCTGACAGAGGTAGAGGCAGGGACTGTGGCGCAATGCCCAGCGGCCAGCGGAAGACAGTCAGAGACGCTTAATACGAATAGCAGTCTCCAGAACTCACAGAATTCGATTTCAGTAGATTCAAAGGTAGTCATCAAGAGAGGAATTCAGTAGTGGATAACACGACCATCCCAGAGTGGACTGAGTCGGAAAGCTGGGTGAGGACACTCACAAGGCAGGTTATATAGACCGATAATTAATTAATAATCAGACTCAGTTGAATCAGAGTAAGGACCGTGTTAACCCATTCATGGATGCTATCTCTACCCTTATTGAGAATGTGATAGACATGTATAGGTAGACCTCGAGTTACAACAGTTCATTTAATAACCGTTCAAAGGTACAATGCCACTGAAAAAAGTGACTTATGACAATATTTCACAGTTAATGACCTTTGCAGCATCCCCATGGTCACAAGAGCCAAATTTGGACGGTTAGCAACTGACTCATGTTTATGACCATTGCTATGCCCCAAGATCATGTGATCATCTTTTGTGACCTGACAAGCAAAATCAGTGGGGAAGTCAGATTTAACAACTGGGTTACTACCTTAAAAACTGCAATGATTCACTTAACTGTGGCAAGAAAGGTTGTAAAATGGGGCAAAATGCACTTAACAAATGTCTCAACAGAAATGTTGGGCTCAGTTGTGGTCATAAGTAGAAGACTACTTTACTACCTAAACTCCTGTTTTACCATTTATATCAGAAAAATCGTTCTCTGCATGTCAGTAAGAAGACGGAATCGTTAGCTATTTGGACGAGAACTGAGTTCAAACCACCGCGCTAACTTTCACCTAAAACGCGGTTGGTTGCTGTCATGGTTGTTAATATTCCCTCTTAAAGGAAAACAGGCCCCGCTTTACGCATTTTTCTCGCCAGCCTTTGAATTACTACCATCCGGGGCCCTTTAAAAGGTGGAGAAGACACGCCCACGTCCTCTGGTAAGGTCACTTCACAAATCCTGGGCGGCGGTCACGGAAGGAGCCAATCCGTTTCCGTCTTACTACGAGGTAATTGAAGCCGCTGCAGAGAGAGAGAAAGATGGAGGCCTTTTCGGAAGGCGCGGCGCCGGTGGAGGGGGAGCGGGTACCGCCCGCTGCCGGCCTCTCCGCCCTGGTTCCCGACTGGCTGCATCAGCGAGAAGCGGAACGGCGAGAGGAGGCGGAGAAGAGGCGGCGAGAACGGGACGCGCAGTCGGTGTTGGAAGAGCAGAGCGATTTTTTCACCGCCTCCTTTGCCCGCGAGCGGGAGGCCATCGAAGCGCTGCTGTGGTCGGAGCCGGCTCAGGATGCCGAAGCGGATGCCGAATCCGTATCTGAAGCGGCTCGGCGGCTGCAGGATCTGCAGCGGCTGCTGACGGATTCGGTGCGCTTCTTAGCTCCGTATGAGGTGCGGCAGGCCCAGGCGGCGCTGAGCAAGCTACAGGGCGCGCTGTCGGAGAGGCGCCTCCAGTTGAAGCCGAAGAAACGCTTCGCCTTCACCAAAGCCCTCAAAAAAGACACGCCCTTCGCTCCGTCCAAGCCGCCCGCTCAGCATCCTCCACCGGAAAGCTCCGCCAAAGACCAGAAGGAAGCGGCGACCTCCGCGCCGCTGGACCCCAGTTGCGGCTTCAGCCGGGCCGAGGGGCGAACCCTGGAGCTCGGCCCGACCGACCTCCTGCAGCAGGACGTGGTGCTGTCCCACCTCAGGCGCTGCCGGGTGCTGTTACGCGGCAACCCCAACACGCTGCTGGTGCTCGACTGTCATGACTGCACCATCCTGTGCGGACCCGTCTCCACCTCGGCGCGAGTGGATGGGTGCAGCGGTTGCCTCGTGGCCCTCGCCTGCCAGCAGCTCCGGACCCACCGCGCTACGGAGACGAGCTTCTACGTGCAAGTGACTAGCCGAGCGATGCTGGAGGACTGCAGCGCCGTGCGCTTCGCCCCGTACTCGTGGGATTACCCGGGCATGGATGCCGATTTCAAAACCGCTGGGCTTGACCGAAGCAAGAACAACTGGGACCAGGTGGACGACTTTAATTGGCTGGCCAAGAATCAGGCCTCCCCGAATTGGTGTGTGATCCCCGAAAAGGAGCGGATCACGGATTGGAATTGAGTTAACAGCCTTGCATTTGTAGAAGACTTCCAAAACAGCCGTATTGAAAAAGAGGAGAGACTTTTAGAAAGGCAGAACTAAAGCTGCAGTAAATAGTCCTGAATGACGTTTGGAATCTCTTTGATTGGGTTGCCAAAACACTTGTCCTGATAGCCTTTCACTGTTTGCCTGCTATCTGATTCTGTATCCTGGTACTAAAGTTTAGTGTTGTGTATGCTGTGGTTCTTTCTACAGATTTGCAAATGTACTTGTAAGATTATGTTTTTGTCCTCTTAGGAAGAAAATGTCTGGGGCTGAAGATTTTAACTTCTTCTAAAATGTTACCCAGTTAGTAACTTGCTCACTTAAATGCTGAATAAAATTGCTATTAATTTACACATTGGCTATTTTTATCTGAGATGTGTTTATGATATATGTGGATTAAAAACATAGTCTTCTTGAAGAGTGATATGAGGTATTCAAGGTTAGGAATGGTAAAAGAACTAGCTTTTTTGACAGAAGAAATAATTTAGAGATGCGTGGTTTCAGAACTACTTTTATCATTTTCATTTGTTAAAATTATGCTTCGTATTGGAAGCAAGTTCTTTCTGGGACGCATCTTCATCTACTAGTACCAAGCCAGACAATTCTACAAAATTTGCAAAGCATTTTCAAGGTTATTCAGAAACTATGTCAGTTAGCATTAATTCACTTTGACAAAACATCATGCAGGTTGTACAGTTTTCAAAAATGCTTAATTTTGGATCCCAAAGGGTATGTGGTTTTAGTTTTGTGTGCCTGTAAAAATTCTAAAGATAACATATCTAAAAGGACACACCCCAAAAATATACAGGCCGTAGAAATTATCTTACCATAGATAAGCACTTTAAGTGGCAGAAAGTTTAGTAGGTGCTTAAGTGTCCCTCTGAAATTAATAAACTACAAAAGGGTAAAGTAAAGTTTGCATTATACCTTTCTGCTACATTTTGTATAGAATATTTATTTTCACAATAATATAATTAACATTTTTTATAACTTTATGTACATTTCAAAAATATTTCACAATCTGAACATTTTAAGATTTTTGTTTTATTTCCACTTTATTTTTTACAATACCTTGATTGAAAATTTCTCAATTATTTGGAGTGTTATTAACAATTTTGTTACTGCATCCATGATCTTTTCTTAATATTAGATTAAAGTAAATCAAAATATATAGAATCTGCGAAGTATTCTAAAGATAGAACTGTTCAAAGCTTCTGCAAGAAGTGCTGAACATTGCACAGGAGTTCATATAAAACCCTTGGCTTTGAAATACCAAAGCTACTGTATCGTTGGCAAGCTTTGTATGGCTGCTTCAGAGATTGTTTTTATCTGTCTCCGTATTCATGAAAATAGCCACAAGAGTCTTACGGTTTGACCATTTGGAAAGAAGTGTTGAATATGTTACTTAATAGATTAAAATTCAGTTGCTGTACTATAGAATATTAGTTGTCTGCATTTTTGTGTCTAGTAAAAAGGGTAACTGATAATGTCTTGAAGTTACAGAGGTAGTCCTCAACTTAGAACTACAGTTGTGCCCAGAATTTTGGTTGTATGTGATTGCTGTCATTAAACAAAATGCCCCTGTGACTGTCTTACTCAGCTACCACAATCCAAGTTCTTCCCATGGCACTCATTAAACAATTGTGTGGGGGTGCTCAGGGTGGGGGCAATACTGGGAGGCCCAGGGCCCACCAGCATGTGGAAACCTGCCTAGGATTGGGAGGCATTGGCCAGCTAGGCCACTGGCACACAGACCTTATCCCTACCCTACCTCACAGGTCCACTTACCTTTCCATTACTTTAGCCCATCCTGCACATGAGTTTCATTTTCGTGATGGTTCAGAAGGCTTCTTCTCCAAACCATCACAAGAATAATGACATTCGCTAGCATTTTCTGCTTCAGAAAAGAAAATGCAAATCCAGCATTCTGAAAGGGTGAACCTCAGTATTTCAGAATGCTGAAACTTTGAGCCTTTAGTGTTTTCTCCTCCAGAATCTATTTCTTTCACTAATGTCCTCCTCTCCAAGGAGAAAATGCTAGTCAAGCTGGCATCTGCTCAAAGCCTTTTAGAATATCAGCTGTGTTAATGTTTTGTTAGACGTGAAGTCTTCTTATTTAACACAGGAGCAGATTCCCCTCCTTGCACAGAGCAGAGAGGAAACTCGTCTGCACTCTGGAGGAACAAGTCTAAATCCGTTGTCTCCTTTGTTCGCAGAAATCTTAAATGGCAATTGCATGGTCACAGGGTACTTGGCAACTCATAAATGTGAACAGGGTGCCAAACTCCTAAAATGTGGTCATGTGAACTGGAGGGGGGGGCGCAGAGTAACGTTTCATGACACCCAGAAATGTTTTACATGGCTATTGTAACTGAACAGTTCTTAAATGGCCAATTGTAAGCTGAGGACTTCAATTAAGCTTCCCATTACTTGTGTTCCAAAAATAATCAATTTTCAGTGCTTTTAAAAAAATATCCCATTGTGATTTTATTAAAGGAAAACTACAAACTTCTCTGGGGAGATAGGAACCTCATACCTCTGTCCTTATAGGTTGAGTTGATTAACTTTTGATGAACAAAGTCTGGCTGCTAAAGCCTTTTAAAAGAAAAGTTATATTTTGCAAAACGTAATTAAATACAGGTAGTCCTCAGTGACCTGTCATCTGGCAACCCATTCAGAGTTATGATGTATCTCCCCAATACTATTTGCAACCCCGTTTTTAAGATCTGATGACTGCATTCTTCCACTCACTTGATCGCATGTTGAGTGCTTGGTAACCAGCTCACATTTAGGACTATTTACAGCAATAATGGACCAAAAATGAGACTCGGGGGGGGGGGACTCCTCCCCCCTGCGTTCCCCCTGCCCCTGTGCATGCGCACACTGTTACAGGTGTTTTGTCAGCCTTGTGTGCAGCTTTATTCCTCCCTAGCATTCATCTCCATTGTTCAGTGATCCATTTTCTACCTCTCTAGGATTTATCTCTATCTGCTCCTGTGAGGCATTTCCTGTTCTTGTTGGATGTATATAGGGATATTCTCGATGGCTTGTATAGTGTTTTAACTGCATTTTGATTAAACAGCATGTTCTGCAGAGACCCAAAAATCAGTTGACCAGCAGGAGGCGCGCGCACATGCGTGTTGAAGCTCAGCTGAGGCAACAGCTTGCGTGCCGGTAGAGGGGCCTCTGTGTGCCATCTGTGGCACATGTGCCATAGGTTCGCCATCACAGGTCTAGGCAGTGTCCAAAAATTGGATACGGTTGAACAGAAGAAGAAAAAAAAAACCTATATCTACTCTATGATATTTCATCAACGACCATGACATCTTATCATTGAAGTCTATCAATATGGGTTGCTTTGCAGCATAATCAGGTTTCTGCTCCAACTTCTTTGCATTTTTAAGATGAAACGCTGCAATTGCAATATTACCTGAGAAAAATGTATGTGTCACATCTCGTTTTCTTTAATTTTGTACACACTATTTAACAGTACAATATTTGGTTGTATAAAGTGCCTAGCCCATCAATATTAGGTGTTACCTTTTGGTGATGTGTACCTATTCCTCTTAGCTTATATTTTTATCATCTTTCTGTGGGGATTCAGATCAAATAATGCAAGCTTCATTTTTCAGTAACTCATTTCATAAAGATTAGGTATTTGTTCTTTAAAGTGAGATTTTCATCTTCCATTTAGTTTTGTCGATGTTAAGTATACTTGGATATATTGCAAAGATTTTAAGTAGTTTGGTGATAACTGGTTCATTATTGCAAAAATAAGGACAAGATGAACAAGGTTATGGAAGACACAATAGATTTTTTACAATTTCAGTAAAAATGAACCAAGCATGTCCCTAGTACTAATCTATATATATAAAAGCGAAAATCACTCATGCCGGATCATAAAAACTCCAGAACCATAAAGCCTACAAACTTGAAATGTGCCAAGTATGTTGCTCTTGGCTTTTAGGTGCTCGCTTAGAAAGGGTTTTTCAAAATGACCGTATCATTAGTATTTGTTATATTATTATTAACACACTCTGATGCTAAGGAGTTCTACTCCCCCTCCCCACCTGAAAAGATTTCTGTTCAAACTGCCACTTGGGTGTGGCCAGCGTGTGACTCCTCTGGCCTGCTGGCTGGGAGTTTGGAGAGGAGCCTGGGGCAGAGAAGAAGATAAGTTTGGTTTCTGTGGGGCAAGGCTGAGGGAGAGAAGGGGATAGGATAGGGGAGGCTTCTGTGGGGCAAGGCTGAGGGAGAGAAGTGGGATAGGATAGGTTTCTATGGGACAAGCCTGAGGGAGAAGGGGATAGGATAGGACAGATTTCTGTAGGGCAAGGTTGAGGGAGAGAAGGGGATAGGACAGAAGAGGATTCTGTGGGACAAGTCTGAGGGAGAGAAGGGGATAGGATAAGATAGGATAGGTAGGGTAGGATAGGATAGGATTGGATAGGATTCTGTGTGGTAAGCTGAGATAGAGAAGGGGATAGGAAAGGAGAGGCTTTGTGGGGCCAGCCTGAGGGAGAGAAGAGGAGAGGAGAGACCGATCATAACTACTCATTAATTTTCAAGCTGTAAGTGTCAATTTATCAAGCCAGATTACATCCTTTCATAGCTGAGCGTGTGTATTCAGCTAGTATTCAATAAGAGCTAAACATAGTGCATACAGGTCCACAAATTTACAACATCTATTTTAAGAATTCTATTCCATCATTTGCCCATTAACAGAGAAAGTGATTGCTCCAAATCCACTGAAGTCCAATGACTAACAGTGGACTTGAACTTGGGTATTGCCGTTCCAATACCACACTGACTCACTTCTTGCCATACAGTACTGTAAATTCCATTAGAATGCCCTGCTAACATTTTCTAGCACAATAAAAGACTCTTCTAACTTAAATAGCAACAATGGAGTTTAGACTCCCCTTAACAGTGAGATAATTGCACCCTTTTCCATTGTACACAAAGTTCCTTACTCAGCAAGACATTGTTGGTTGGTTGTGATTAATCTGTAAACTGCTCTATTTTGGGCTCAAATGTCTTGGCAGTTTGACATAGCTTCTGCAATGATTTAGTAAGGTTGTCACAATTAAGTTGGTAATTCTTGTTTTTATCTTTAAAATTCTTAGATTGAAAATCATTGAAAACATGACCTAATTCCATCCCCAAAATGCCTAAGTCCCAGAGCATGTCATTCAAGGTGGGTGGCATAAGGATAAGTAGCATCATAGACTAGCTCATTTGTAGGTCAGTGTATGAAAAGCATCTGGTATAGGTTTCAAAACTAATTTCCCAAGGAGAAGGAAGTCTAAGAACAGGGAAACTTCAAATATCTTTGTTTTCAGTTATATCATGTGAAAGCACAAGCCCTCTGAATAGTAAAATGAAAGGATTATTTTCTTGGCTTATCTGTGGACAGAGATTTCTTAAATTGGATTACACTAATTAGTATTGGAATGACGTAGTATAGATCCAGCTTTAATTATTTGAAATTGAAACAGTTTCTCCTTTGTATAGAAGGGACGACCACAAATAGTTGCATATCTTATTTACCAATAATCTTTTATTAATGTGATTTTAAAAAAAAACATCTTGCTGATTTGAAAAAATGTATCTGCACTTCTTCAATTTTGGGCTGAGGAAGATGGAAGAACTAAATAATGTCCCAACAAAAAGGATGCCCCTTTGAATCTTCAAGGACTGTGCGGTGGCATATCTTTCTAATTCTAGTCTTAACCCTTTTCAAAGAAGGGGTGGTTTGAGGAGAAGCTTGGTACCACCAGCATTGTGAAAAAGATGGCAGTGATGAAAATCAAGTTTAACCAGAAGAAAAGAGTAAAACTAGCCCAAGGATTATGGCTAATGAATTGGTTTTCAGTGTTTGCTGGAATTGTTGTTTTTTCTATGGGACTTTTTCTGAAAATTGAACTCAGGAAGCGAAGTGAAATGATGGACAATTCTGAAAGCCACTTTGTGCCCAACTCTTTAATACTGGTAGGTCTACTTGCCGGTGTATCTAATGCTCTTTCTGGCAAAATATGCTACGATTCCCTGGATCCTGCTAAATTTGAAAAATGGAAATTTTTCTTGAAATTCTATTTAATGATATGTGTAATTTTTAATGTCTTCATTTTTTTAATTGCTTTTATTTGCTTTCTGATGAGGGGTTCTCTTGACTATACACTGGCAGAAGGGTTAAAAAATAGTATGAAATTCTACCGTGACACAGATACTCCAGGAAGATGCTTCATGAAGAAGACAATTGATATGCTCCAGATTGAGTTCAGATGTTGTGGAAATAATGGTTACAGAGACTGGTTTGAGATTCAGTGGATCAGCAACCGATACTTAGATTTTGGTTCCAAGGAAGTGAAAGAGTAAGTAGTTGAAAGAAAATTAATTTTGGTGTATGGTTTCTGCCTTTAAATCTTGTGTTTACATGTCATTCAGATTTTTTTTAGAGGTTCTGTTGTGAATAGCAAACTAAGATCAGCAATAAAGAGTAATATAAATTATTTTAATTAAGGAAGCCACCATTTCAGACTTTCAGAAATATAACTTAATTGATTAATTTTCTTTTCCCAGTAATTGTCTTATACTATAGCATTATAACTTTAACAATGAATTATTTTAGGGGTATTTCACTACTTTCTAGCTTATGGTTCATCCATTTACTATATTGCTGTTAAGCCATCATGCCTGATTTTCCCCTAAAAACAAAGTAATTGAATAAATACAACAGAACTCACTATTTTTTTATATGGATTATGCAGGGAAACCTCTTCTTTGCACACTGACATTTATCTTGACCTCTGTTAAATCACTCTTTAGCTATTCTTGGCTTTCTCCTCTAGGTAGATAAATGGATTTATAGAGCTCTACTAATGTACATGCGCTCAATACATACTTATTTTGCCCTTGAATGCATAAAATTGAATCTACACTCTTTTCGGGGATTCTAATTATTTATCTGCCTTGAAAGTATGGCTGAGTATGCTTTCGTCTTCCCAGGTGACTTCTGCTATAGATATTTTTTGAAAATATTTTGTCATTGCTTTCTCATTCTAGGAAAAGATTCAGTCCCCCACCCCCAATAATTAATTATGCTAAGAGAAAAAATGCTAGTCTTCAAATGGTTAAGATTTTTAACGATTTTGATTGCCAGGATTGTTGAATAAGCAGCTTTCAGATTTCTAAAGTATCTTAACAGTGAACTGCATCAGTTGTTTTATTTGCACTGAATTCAGTGGGATTTATGATTAAATAGATATATACGAAATACATTGAATTTCACTGTTAGTTACCTTATAGGCAGCTTGGGGAAGTTCATTGTGATTAATACAAATCCCATTAATTCCAACAGCACTTAAATATGTGAATATAGATGGGTTATAGAGATCCAGTGCTGAAGTTCTGAATTTAATAAATAAATCATCAATGAAATATATTTAAATACATTTAATAGAATAGTTGAATAACAGAGTTGGAAGGTATCTTGGAGATCTTGTTGTCCAACCCACTGCTCAGGCAGGAAACCCTACACCATTTCAAACAAATGATTGTCCAATCTCTTCTTTAAAGCGTCCAGTGTTGGAACATTCACAACTTCTAGAAGCAAGTCATTCCACTGTTAATTGTTCTAACTGTCAGGACATTTCTCCTTATTTCTAGGTTGCATCTCTGCTTGATTAGTTTTCATCCATTGTGTGTCATTGTATATTGTATATTTGAGTACCTTTTCATAATTTCTCCTATGAAATTATTCTATGAAATCTTCTAATATGAACTATTCAAGATGCATGCAAAAAAAACCTTTTAGTTTTGCTTGTGGTGATTTTTCACTCAAATATTGTAGTCTTAATGTAATCCAATTAAATAAATACCAATTTTATTTGTATTTTGATATGTTATGCTGAACAAATATATGAATGGGAGCCGTTCAAATTATGTCTTGATATAAATAACAACATGGAAAAGTATAATGAGATGTCCACTATGCTGGCATTATCTGAAGATTTGGAGCTTGAGTTTAATCCATCCACAGGAGGACAGTACAAGGGAAATAAAATGAGATTATGTTGTCAGACAGATGTGTAATACTGTACTATTTTTAAAAATGGTGATAGAATTTCAGGTATAAAAGTAGTTTCACTACTTAAATTCAGTTCCCAGGAATATAATGTTATTGCTCATTTTAGTTTGGATGTATATACAATGCTTGCATTATCAAGTACAGAATGTATTTGAATGTCCCAGGGACATTATCCAGTTCACACTGAAATCAGCTGGAGACTGAGTGGAGATAAGGATATCTAATTAGCGTATAATACTTTGAAGATTATAAATAGTCAGGATTATCTTCAGGAAAAGGGTTCTTTTAGTCACTTTAAGATTCTTCATGTGATGATAATAATAATAATTTACAATTCAACAGACAAGCATTTGACACATAACAGCCCAGACTTCAATTGTTGATAAGAAAAACAAAAAAGTAGGGATAATGGACATTACAATATTTGGAGATAGCAGAATAAAAGAAAAAGAACTGGAGAAAAATCATAAAATACAAAAACCTGCCAATAAAAGTAGAATGACTGTGACAAAAGAAAGCAAGGATAGTACCAAGAGTAATAGGTGCATTGGGTGCAACTGCAAACATCTGGAGCACCACTTGAACAGCATATGGTATTGACAAAAGCACAATTAGTCAATTGCAAAAAGCAGCTTTATTTGGAACAGCTAATATCCTGCAACAATACCTTCAACACCTCTGGAAGCACTCAATAGGTGGATAACACTGCCAAATCCAGTCTTAACATCTGGCTGACTTTGCAACCAGTCATAATAGTAATTTATTAAACTTACATGCCATCAACTTTCCATAACCCCGAGTGCCTCACAACAATGAAAGAAATTACAATAAAATCAATAAAATATAAAAAAAGAAAAAATGGCAAGCACATTGAACTAAGGGACCCATTTCTCCATCTGTTATGGCCAAGGTGAAGATATGCCTTTAAAGATACAAAAAGGATTGCTGCTGGCTATGATCCATACAATATAATTCAAGAGGCTGTCCCTTTTAAATAGAATTGCAATTTGTTTCATTAGTACTAAATTTGTTTGACATTTCACATATCACTCATGAAACAGGAAATGTTTATATCATGTCCAAGTACAATTCCATTTCTCTAAGACTTGCCTTACTTAGGCATTATGCCTAAAAGTGAAGGAGGGTAAGATAATCTCTCCTTCAGATTCTAATTTGTGTCTCATTTTTCAAAGCACCAATGAACTAACATTAGCCCAATTGTACATATATTAGTACATACTATCCATCAATGCTATTCAGTTTTGGGGTTTGCAAAATTATGCAGAAAAAGTGTAAAAGATAATAAGCAAAAGAAGCATGAAAAAAAGCAAACTTAAAACTAGTTTACACTAACATTATTCAGTAGAAAATCCATCCTTGTTTCTATTATGTCCATACATCTATTCATACATTGCCTTTTGTTCTTGACAGTTCTGTTTTTGAGTGTCTCATAAGTTCCATCTAGCCAACCATAAGACTTTGTTGGTCCTGCTAATTGCCCTTTTACCCTTTGTATAGTTATTTTGTAATTTGATTATCATTCATCTCTCTGTATGATCAAACTACAGCAATTTTTTATACAAACCTGATTCACTCATTCTCTATTCCTTTTCTTATTCAATTTTCTTCTACAACGTTTTCCTGAATGTTAAGATACTCCAAAGATATTTAAGAGATCTTTATTCTGTTTTAGCTATTCTAGATAGAAACGTTAAACCTTCTTAGCTTGTTTTCTTGCAAACATTTCATTATCCAAACTAGATAATATCATCAGTGCTAGAAGTACTGAGCTACATTCTCTTTTATCAGTAAGACAGAAACTTCTCTGTGGCTCTGTCCAGCACAAGTATTTTTCATCTAATTAAGCCAGTTTCATTTGCATTTCCTTCCACTTGCAGGCAGAGAGATTATCAAAGAAGTTGACTTGATTCAGAATTTAACTGATGAGCTGTTTGCATTTACTGCAATAATTTATTATGTAAACAAAATATTTCCCAATGTTTAATGGTATTTTAAACTGGACCAAACATCTAAACTTGTGAATGTCCTTTATCATACCGTACAATTGTTAAAGGTTTTCCAATATGGGGGAGCTAAAGATGAAATAATCCATCTTCCAATTTTGAACAAAATTCTAGACATCAGACTAATAAAGAATTAACATTATAAAAATTATCTGATCATGATACTTTTTGTTCCTACATGATATATAAAATAGTTATTATTTTTATATCAACAATTACATCCCAGCTTTGTTTACAATGAACAAATAACAAATATCTTTACTGCCTTGTGTTTTTCTCTGACAATGTTTTATTAATTACTTCTACCTAGTTCACCTAGAATCCTGAGAAAACTCAGTAGTGTTGGAAGAACTACCGTTAGTTAGTAATTGGAGAAGAAATCCCCATCTATAGACCAGACTTAGGGAGTATAAATCTCCTGGAAAACGACAATGGGAAACTACTTCTAGATTGTTGCCAAACAAAAGCATGGACACATCTGTATAACTCACAGGATAGTTACCTCCTCTAATCACCAGAAATGTAGTACAAATAATTGTATAATTTTTACAGGTAGTCCTCAACTTACAATCACAATGGAGCCCAAAATTTCTGTTACTAAGCAAGAAAGTTAAATGAGTTTTGCCTCATTTTACAATTTCTTTTTTGTCACAATTGTTAAGTGAATTGCTGCAATTGTTCAGTTAGTAATACAGTTGTGAAGTGAATCTGGATCCCCCATTGATTTTGCTTGTCAAAAGGTCTCAAAAGGGGATCACATGATCCAACCAATAGTCATAAATATGAGCTAGTTGCCAAGTGTCTGAATTTTAAGTATGTGACCAGGGGGATGCTGCAATGGTTGTTAATGTGAAAAATAAGACATAAGCAGTGGTGGGATTCAGCCAGTTCGCACCACTTCAGGAGAACTAGTTATTAACTTTCTGAGCAGTTTGTTGGAAGAAATCATTAGGGCAGAGAACCAGTTGTTAAATTATTTGAATCCCACCACTGGAAATAAGACACTTTATTCAATGTTGTTGTAACTTCAAATAGTCATTAAATGAAAGATTGTAAGTTGAGGACTACTGTATAGCATTCTTTGATGGTTACTGAAATCTTTCTTTAACTCCCCTCCTTTTATAATCTACATTTCAGTATTTATTATTCAACAGTGTACTCCCATTGCCTCCCACTCCCATTACTGTCAGTAAAACAATACAGAACCATAATCATTCCCATTTTCAGTGATGATATTCTTTGCCAGACTATTTCCTGATTCTCAGGGAAAGTTTGCAGGAGGCGAGGGAGTACACAGTTCTTTAGCTCCAAGTCTTCAAGTTTGAGTTGATTATTAATCAATACTATTTGAATTTGAACAAAAAATTATCTTTAAGCAAAATATTCTTCAAAATTGGGGGATCAATATGATCGGACTGGCAAGTAGCCCTTAATTCTTGTATTAATATGCAATCAACAATTTTCCACAGTAAATTGAGGATTTTCTTTTAACTATTTTAAAAAACTACATTTTTTTTAAAAAGGGATTTTTGTGTGAAGTTTACATTCTGCCTTTAGTGCAGGAGCTCAAGGCAATGTACCTAGGTCTCCTCCCTCCCATTAACCCTGTAAGGCAAGTCAAGGTAAAAGAAAGAAATTTGCTCAAAGTGAACCCATGAGAATTTGACCCTGGCCTTCTTGGTCCTAGTCCAATATCTTAATATTGCATCCCCTTTTAACACAAATTAATTCCTCATTAACATATAAATGTGCTAAACAGTTCCCCATTTTTTTTATTTGAGGCTTGCTGGTAACATACATCCAAAGCCAGAAGGCTGTTCTCAATCTAGCTAAAAAAAAAAACCTGCCAACCCAGGTGTTTTAAATGAGAAAGATTTTATCCAGATGTTATGAGGAAAATGCAACTAATTCACATGCAGCAGATAAACAGTGGCGGTAATGTTGCTCCATTTTTCTTAGTGGCTGTTCCTAAATACAGATTTACTCTTATTCATTTACAGTCGCATTAAAAGTAACGTGGATGGCAAATACTTGGTGGACAGTGTTCCCTTCAGCTGCTGCAATCCAAGTTCTCCACGGCCATGCATCCAGTACCAGGTTTCTAATAATTCAGCTCACTACAGTTACGACTACCAAACAGAAGAACTCAATATATGGACTCGTGGCTGCAGAGAGGCTCTGCTTAATTACTACAGCGGCATAATGACCTCCATGGGAGTGGTTGCCCTCTTTGTCTGGCTTTTTGAGGTAATACAATTGGCAAACTAATTTCTCTCACAGCTGTTCAGAATCATAATGAGTACTTCTCATGGCAATTATCATTTTTGTGGAAAATATTGCAGGATTATACAGATACAGCCTTGTTTAGATTTTATTGTGTAGAATAATTGCCGTTTTGTAGAAAATATTGCAGGGTTATACAGGTACCAGCCTTATTTTGATTTTTTTTAAAGGGAAAGATAGTTTTCAGAAGGGAAACAAACATATATTCTCTCCTTCCCCCATCTGAGCTATACTATAGGATCATGTGGACATCAGGTTTGACACAGTTGCCATGTTAAATCCGATTATGGTTTGCTACGTAACAAGAGCGGGGAGGAATTTCCTTTAGTGTGGTAAAGATATTTTAATTGGGTTGAAAATATTTTATTGATCCTAATCTCCTGTCCTCTACAATATTAGAAGTGTTTTAGATTTATGCAGGCCATTCTCCTTCCTTCCTTCCTTCCTTCCTTCCTTCCTTCCTTCCTTCCTTCCTTTCCTCAGTCAGAATTCATCTACCTTGCTTTGGTCATGTAGGATGAAAGGTCCTCGCTGAAGTGGATTTTTTTCTTATGAAAAAACCTGATGTATTTTGGGATATCTTGGAATACACATAGATCAATATTTTCTTCTAGGGCTCCATTAGCAATTTGATGACATAGCCCAGTTCCCATTTTTCCCTCAACTCTCCATTTTTGACTGAGCCTCATGTTACTTATGTGGACATTAAACAAAAGTATGCCTTTCTGAATGTTTGGGAATTTTTTATTCATTTATTATTTCAGTTTCTAAGGATGCCCATTCAGCCAATGGCTCTGTCCAGTGTACAAAAGTTAAAACCAGAGAAAACAATATTTTAAAACCACAAATAACAGAGGTCATGTTAGGAGAGAGAAGGAACTGTTAACACATCTTCCACAATGGATACCCTGTGGAAAAAGCCAGGTCTTCAAATTTCCTTGAAGGCCTCATTGTATTTATCAGTGAATATAAAGATTACCTTAAGAAGTAACAAAAGAGGAAGTATTCATTCTAATTGATATGGATGGTTTGGGACTTGAAATATTTTAAATAAACTTAAAATCATGTATATGCCAAGGTATATTTACAAGTACTACAAATTGTGAGTGTTGAAAATATTTTTTTTTCCTGATCGTTCTCTAAAAAACAAATACAGAACCCTAACATTTTACTGGCTTTTTTTTTACTGTTAACAATTTATTTAAAATTGTCCCTTTCTTGACTAATAGGTTAAACACATTTGTAAACAGCAACAGTCTGAATTTATCTGTAAAAATGACATTGCTGATTCAGTTAGAAGGGTATTAACTGTAAGATACTATGCTAAAACTTACTAACCTCTACTTAACTTGCTGTCTCCAGATGCTATTAAAAGATTTGTCAAAGTAGATTACAAATTGATTTTTAAAAAATGATCAGAATTGGATTTTTCAAAATGCCAATGGCAAACCGAACATCTGAACATCTGATAACTTGTCTACCAATTGAACTGTCTTCAGGATTTGTAAAACATGAAAAATTTAGGTAGAATCTTTGTATTTCTCCTTAAGATTATGTCTGCCTTTGCAACAGGGTTCCCAAGTTTCTATAAATGTTTTCCTTTTTATTTTTTTATGATTTTTATTTAATTTTTATGATTTTTTATTTATACTCTGTGTTTGTTTATTCTAGTCCAAAATGATTGATTTATTAAAACAAAGAAAAAATAAGGCCATAATACATTATTCACATTTTATCTGTAAATGCATTGTCTAAGAACATTATCACTTATAGCTGACCCTTCAGAAAGTTTGCAGTATGATCTAAGAAATTTGAATCCAAAGCTATGCATTCTCACAATCAGAGAGATAGTTGCAGCCACAGCTTTCTTCTCGAAGTTCCCTAAATCACCTTTAGAAGTATTGCATAGCTACCATAACTGTGTTAGGAAAACCTAGGAATATTAAAAATGAAAGATAATGTTGCAATCCATGCAGACTCCTAAAATATATCCTTTTTTTTAAAGCATATATGTCTACATGAAAATGAAATACTCTCTGACCATCTGCATTATTCCAAGAGTTTTTCTTGGGAAACTTAAGTAGTTACTGTATACTTCCTTACTATGAGATACAAATCTATTTTTCCTGCCTCAATTTCAAGTACTTATTCTAGCTTTACATATTTAAGTAGTTTTAATCTTGACTGCCTTCCAAGTAGCTGATTCCTTATGAGCTTCATATCAAATATTTATGAAAAGAGCAGAAGTGATGCACAAAGAAACATGTAGATGTAATAACTTTCCGTTTACAAGAAGGGAAATTTACAATTACAAAATGAAATTTCAAATTAGTTGGAGAAGCTAGCTATTATATCTTCACTAAGGTCTGATAATTGATAGTAACACTCCTTGTTATATCTTTATTAATGTACGATAGTAGCAATTTGATATAAAACTTATCTGTTTTATCTGGGAATCAATAGAAGTTAGGATGTTTAGGGAGTTTACAAGTTGCCAGTTAATCCCAATAATGAACATTGTAAACTTTGTGTTACAGAGCTAAATGGTTATACATCCTCCAGGTTTTGATATAGCACACTTTTGGCCTGGTCAGAGTCAGCAGAAATACAATAATGCAAGGGTCTTTAATTTATTTTCTAGAGTTGGGTCCATAACAAGGCATAATCATTAAAATCTATGGTAGTGGCCGCAGTTAGAAGGTGGTAAGTTTCAACCAGTATGATTATAGTGGTATAGGGCACAAGAATCAGTACAGGTAGTCCTTGCTTAACTATCATTCTTTCAGTAACTGTTTAAAATTGTGATGGCACTAAACAAGTGGAACTTAACCCCAGTCCTTGAAATTCCAGATGTTGCAGTATCCCCATGGTCACAATTCAGGAGCTTGGCAACTGACGTACAATTATGATAGTTGCAACATCCTGCAATCACATGATCACCATTTGCAACCTTTACTGCTGGCTTCTGAAAAGCAAAGGCCGCATGATGTGACCAGGTCACATTGCATTTAACAGCTGCCTGGGATTTTCTTAATGGGTGTCACTGGAAATGCATCTTTATAACACTTTAGGACAGCATCAAATAGTGACAGAAATGCTGATTCCAGTTACCACCATTAAACAAGGACTACCTGTATGTACTGTTCAAGTTATAAATGGGTGATTTGAAATTTAAGCTAATATCACATAATCCTGATTTTACTTCTATGTGTAGATTTGGTAACTTTTGATTGTTCGTTTATAATTAAGATTATTTTCAATATACATAGGCTGTGAAATGAGCCAATCTTTAATCAAGTTGACTGACAGTTCATTTTGTATCTCACTTAGATATTAGTATTGATAGGGTTGCGTCTATTGCATACCTCTCTGGAAAATATCACCAATCCAGAAGATCCTGAATGTGAAAGTGAAGGATGGGTCCTGGAGAAGAGCCTGAAAGATACTTTCAAATCTACCTTGGAAAATTTGAAAAATATTGGTAAGGGAAACCAAGTGAATGCTGAAGGTGCAGAAGATGAAGGTTCAAAAACTCAAGCTGTTGCAACCGTCAGCTGAGTTTCCCAGCTAACATGACTGTACCTAAAGACTGAAAATTGTGAATTCTAACCTTTGAAAAATGAGCCATCACAGCTACAGTATATATTTATTGATAATATTTAACATTTGCACTTACAGCAAGAACATTACAAAGCATCTTGATATAACCAATATTATATGTATATATTAAGGTGACTACTTTTATTGGAAATGGTTAACTATTATCTTAAAGCAAGTATATAAGGCATTAGGATCTTTCATATTAAAATTCAAGCATTGACTTCTATTTTGGTATTCTGGCACTGTGCATTTTTTTGTGGAATGGAAAAAAAAGAGGAAATGTAATTATTTTTATATTTTAAGTTTACAAATATTTGGAAAAATATGTATGCTGGATTATGCATACTTATGATAGGACAACAATAAAATACTGACTGGAAAATTGGAAAGGTATATAGAAAAATGCATTTTAACTTTCCTTTTTTGAGGGGGAATAAAAACAGATTTAAAATTGCAAATGAAGAACTATATTCAGTCGTGTTTATTGACAATATAGCAATAACAAAGTTAGTTGCACTGAATTTTTATGCACTGGATGAAAATGGATAATTTTATAGAAGCAAGATTACAGTACATAGTTTTGTAAACCAGTATAACTTTTAACCTAAGTTGCTGACATTTGCTCACCTTAAATCTGGTGCACAAACTAAGCTGTGTTTTAAGAAAGAATTAGGAACCCCTATTTGTAACTGTAATTCATCAAAATAAACAATTATCACATTCAGTAAATGGGGTTAAGGATTTTTTCCTGGCACTGAGAAGCAACTAAACAGATTTGCACATTAATTTAGTGAATTAGATGCTATGTAGAAAGACTTGGAGTTGCCTGTAATGGTAATATACAGAAGATTACTGTTTCAATGCATTTTAATACAAAATGTATTCACTAAGATTGTCTAGTGTTATATTATTTTGCAGTATCTTTTAAAGTTTGTAAGCTGGAGTGAAACATGGGGAGTTAAATAAGTATCTTTGTCTTATATGAAGCACTCACAGAGACACTACATAAACACATCTTTGCCAGGTGAGCCTTTCCCAAGAGAAAGCAGAAAAGTCTGCCTATTAATGAGCAGCCTAGTTATGGAACTGAGCCAATCCAAGTGTCTTGTAGCCTTTGATAAGAGAAATGAAGGAAGTGTTTATGTTATTATGATCAATAAAAAGCAGAATAAAGTTGTTCAAAGAGAAAAGTGGCAGCAAAGGCAGTTACAGGCATGAGGTGCTTGTTGACAAAACCTCTTCTGAGGTCTAAGTTAAATTATATTTAAGATCAAAAGTCCACCTTGGCAGATCTGTTTTCACTGGTGCTCATTTCCCCAGTTTTGGGCCCTGGGTTCCATTTATTTCGAAGAGACAGCAACTAAAACTAAGACCTTTGCCTGACTGATGACATTGTAACAGTGCAGAAAACGGAAAATCAGCAAGTGGTTGGTAGCTCTCTCCTAATTATGAAGCTCCAGCCATGAAGAGACTAGCAAAACTTTTGAAATAAAAGAAGTATGATACTGAAGGTGATATGAAATGGAATAAGGTTGAAAGCTTATATGATCAAGGGAGTTTAGCGATTAAAAAAATAGGGGAGGAGATGGAGAAGGTAGAAATGCCACAAGGAATTATACTACAGTAGTCCCAAGAAGAGGTGATGTTCAGGCAAGGATTTTAACAATAGCAGTTATGTAAAGTGTTGAGGCTGAAGAACTATCACCGTTTAATAATTTCTTGAATATGAAGAGTGGGAAAAATTGTATATCTTTATTCAATTCTGCATATGCTACCTTTTTTCTGAAGGGGTCATTTTGTTTATAGTTTTTGTAATGACATTTTGGGGGTTTCCTCAAATAACATCCAAATCCTACAATATATGCTGGTATATTTTAAAGTATTAGGACCGTCCTCTAAGTCTTTGCTGAGTTTTGTGATTGTTCCATGACGATAGTTTTTTAAACCAGAGATGAAAAGTAGGGAAATGGGAATCTATTTCCTACATTTGCAAAACTCAGTATGCATAATATGCTAACATAAAATGCTAACAGAAGCCTTAGTTTTTGTATTATCCTGGTTTATCATGGATCTAATTAGATCAATATGAGTCAAGTATTCATATAAAGCAATTGGTAAAAGGTTTAATTAGGAAGGTTTCAGAAATCTCATTGCAGCTATTTCACTGTGCTAATTCTTTGTATGTTATACAAATGTTCTGTAAATATTCCAGAATTTTATTGTATTGCATTAAAATTTACCTCAAGTCTAACTATATTCAACTCAAACTATCATTTCTCATTGATGGGGGGTTTATCTGGTTTCATTTTTTACTCAGCACTTTCTTTTATTGCCATATCAGAAAATGTAAGTTTATTTCCAGTTGCCAATCATCACAATCGACCAAGGGCATTCATTGTAATCAGTAAAGAATAAAGCAGAATCAGATTTAGGTCCCACACAATTATGTATATTTTTTGTATGAGAATTTATACTTGTTCTCTTTCCCTTGTAGTAGCATAACTGCAATTATTATATTGCTTTCTTTGAATAAAGAGAAATAAGAGAGTGAAAATATATTCCATTTAATTTAAATATTTTTCAGTAAGGTGCCCTAATATTAAAATTTCAAAATTTATTTGAAAGAGAAAAATTGATCAACAATATTTCTAGAAATCATAAAACTACTATTGTAGAAAATGGGATTTCCAATTTATCAGGGTCTTTTGACACAATCTTATTCTATTATGCTGCTTGTAATAATTGTCCTGTTAAATAAAAGTGGTTATGGATATGATTTTCCAAATGTGAGTGTACTGTAGGTACTATTACAAAAATGTGTAAGAATTTTTGATTACCACAATTGTTTTTTAACAAAGGATTTGGGGTAATTTTCAATTTACATTTCTTAATATACAAAATAGTGAAAAAATATAGTAGAGCAGTAAAAGTAGAAAGGCTCTTCATTGTTGAAAATTAGCACCTCTCAACTATCCAATTAGGTAGCCCAACATTTTTTAAACATCCAAATCAACTTCAAAAATTATGGCAATGCTGAAAGTATGAACGATTTGTGATTGTAAAAAGCGCATATTGTGGGGAGATAGTTTAATAAACAATAGTTTATTGTATGCTAATATATCTCCTGTTATGTGTAGAATTTAGAAATGTGATACTAAAGAAAGCAAGCAAACGTTTTCCTCTTTTTCTAAGACATCAATACTTGATGAAACATTCCAGGAGTGGAAAATATACATGGCTTCGTCAGAGCTAATTATTCCTAAGTAACCTTAATACAATTTACAAGATTAACCTTCACACATTCTTCTGTTCTGGGCAACTAATGCTTGACAACAGTTGCTTCCTTACGCATACACTGCTTAGCCAGAGCAAGAGAAGACTACAGAAGCATCTTTATTCTAATGGTATTCTCTTGCTGAAGTAATAAGCCAGAACATAAGCGATCAAGCAATTTTTAAAAAGTATTCCAGAAATACTAAAATACAGTTTTCTCATGTTACAGCTACAATGGATTAGATGCTCTCTCTTTCTCTCTTTCCCTCCCTCCCTCCCTCCCTCCCTCCCTATCCCAATTTTGACTCCTGGCAACTACCTGGAGAAGTCCCTGCAGTTTCCTTGGCAACATTTTGGAAGTGATTTGCCATTGTCTGCTTCCTAGAGCTGAAAGATTATCCTACAAAATAATATGACCTGTGTCATATTGATGAAATTGTAGAGGAAAAAATAAGATTGTTCACGAATAATGTTGGAAAATGTAAAAAATATTAAATCATCAAATTATTGAAGCTATTATTTTTAGATATTATAAATCATGTGATACAGTATAATACATTCACAAAAACTACTTAAAAGTAACTTGTGAGGTACTAATTTTATTAATGTTGAATTGTTTCATCTCAACCCTGAGAAACATAGTAGAATGATGTGGCTGACTGCAATATTTAAAACTTTCTTTTTAAATGGGAACCAGAGATGCTATGTATCCAAGGCATTTTTAACAAGTTCTCAATTAAAGTCTTCAACAGAACAGTCTCTTTAAAAAGTGAGCAATACTCAAGCATTAATTAAATATCAACAACACCTAAAGCATTTATTCTTATATTTTATACATATGATACAGTTTAATTTTTACAAGTTGTTCACAGATATGAAAGTCATTCATTACAGGTATGAATTCCCTGATAGTGAAAGCTTGTTATATAAATATTTCTATAATTAACATAAATACATGCTGAAAGAAAAACAAAGAAGAAATTGGGCAATTGAAGGAGCAACCTTGCCAAAAACCAGGATAAAGTACACATTTTATGTGTCATGACCTTAAAACCATCAACCTATTTGACCTTCATTTCATCTGTGGTATCTGGAGGGGTCATTTCTCCCAATATTTAATTTGTACAATTCTTTTTTTTAAAAAGCAGAACTTTTTTTAAAATTCTTGTTTCTGATTTATCTATGGAGTCAAGGGGGGGATGGACCTCCACAGAATCGAATGCATTGTTACTGTGTATATCTTAAAACAAATTTTATATTAAGTAAATTGTGTTAGAGGAGAATTAGCAAATTAAATGTATCAAGTCGCACCAAATATCTACAACCTAAAGGAAGAAAAAATGAAGACTACTGCCAGATACTCAACACATAGAGGAAAAAGAGGCTTGGTTACTACTAATGTTGTAATGGAAGACTGTAATCAGGCTGCTCAATTTACCTTAATAAAAAGCAGCCAAATTCATCTAACTTTTAATGTGTTTGATATATTAATAGCAACTATTCTGATAGGACAGCATAATGTTGGTTAAAAAAATTAATTTACAATAACATGAAAATGCATGTTATAAGATGGCTTTTCGGCAGCATACTGGTGATAAAATTTCCCTACTTTATCAGTATTAGATAATATTACAGATTATGATTATGTAATAAAGCATTTTTTTAAAAAAATGTATTTTAAAGGA